TCTTGAGTTAAACTCATCCAAATCTTTTCTATTTAAATTGTTTTAATTTTAATCTTGTGTGGTTTCATAGTAAGCTACCTGCTGAATAATTTAGGCCATTTTTAGTTTGACAAGTCTTACTGCAACAAGATTATTGCTGTGAAGATTACAGCGTCATGAGTTTACAGGTGCATGTATGATTGCAAGCACACTTTCACATGTCATTAATACCAGCACCAGAATGAAGTGCTGAGTGGACTTTTCCTTTGGGAATTATTCAGTTGATTCATCATCCCCTTGCTAAGTTCAAGGTGATATTAATAATCACACATTTATGGACAAACTCATTTCATCTGAGTTCTATGCTTACAGTTTATTCTTAGCAGCAGCTTTTTGTAGTCTGTTTGAAGAACAAGGCTGAAACCTCCGATTTAGCTGCAGTCTTCCAAAATGCACATAATCTACTGGGAGGTCAAGCAGTCAATGCTATTAAATGTTTTAGAGTGACAGATTTATTAAGAAGAGCACCTCTTACCTCTCTCTCAGTCAATCTTTAGAAATAACTATTCAAGAACAGAAATTTCCCCCTCTCCCTTGTTTCAGTTCAGCTAGTATTAGTGGGTGTTGCCAACAGACCGCACAAAGTCTTCACATGGTATAACCCACGGGGCAGGTGTGCATACTGGTACAGCGTAATTTGTCCCTGCTGTGTAGAGTTGTTGTGGCTCACTGAATCTTTCTGTTAATAGCGTTATGGGGAGTAAACACTGCAGGCATAGTGGGTTTGACTTGCAAACACTGAACTGACCGATGCTTGTACACTCAGCCCCTGAGAGAAAGACACTGTGAGTACCTGGAAACAAGGTTACCCAAACCCACCAGCTGCAGCCCTACCATTGTCCCGTCCTTTCATGCGTTTTGGTCAGATCACTTTTCAGAGTTCTTTTTCTTTTTTACACTGTTATGGAATACCTATCTCTTACGAATATTCCTGTTTTTCCTATTTTAAACAGGCTTCTTCAATGCTCAACTATAAGACTTTCAGTCCTATTTGCAAACTTTCTGCCTTTGTCACCATGGTTTATACTAAGAGTGTTAATCCCAGTCTCTGCTTCTTTCCTCCAGAGCCAGGTTCTCCTTGACTCTGACATCAGTCAATGTCAAATGGATTTTAAAGCCCTCAGCTGGCTAGATTTCCTGCTGCAGGGGATTATAAAGCTCAGAAGTGAACCAGTAGGTTCAGTACTAAATTCGGTACCCTGACACTCCGTGCTGCTGAGACGGATTGTACTCCTTGTTCAGCACCTGGTCAGGAACCGCTTCTGTCAGGGCAAACAGAAGTGTTTTCCTGCAATGTTCATTCTGCTGATGAAATTTGTATGGGGTGATGTCTCTACATAGGTAGAATATTATGTTCCCATTATGTTTTCATAAAAGAGACCTTTAGAGGTCCTTTGAAGCAGAACTGAGAATATAATTTTTAATGGACATTGAAAATACTTGAAATACAAAATTTTTTAGGCTTCAGAGGTGTATTGTCATGAAGGGTTTTCCTAATCTCTTTTTCCTATACATACAGATTTACCACAGGACTTCTTTGACTAATATAGAATATATTTTATAGTAAATACAAAAAATCAGTATTTCTAGCATAACAGATGTTTCCACAGATAATCAGATATAAACATGTTGTCTGTAAAATATGAAGAAGTAGCATCATACAGGATGACAGTAGTTTTTCTACGCAGTTTTCAGTATCTCATCTAGAGAATCTACCTTTTCCTAGCACATTTTAATAGAGCTCATGACTTGTTATGTCCTGATACTATGAACATAGGAAGAAATTCTTACTGAACGCCACTTTATTGGTAGGATGATGGAACTCGCAGATTATTTACAAGACAGAAAGTACAAGAAATAAAGGTGCAAGGTCCTGCACCTGGGTCAGAGCAATCCCTGGTATCAACACAGTCTGGGGGATGAAGAGATTGAGAGCAGCCCTGCCAGGAAGGACTTGGGGGTACTGGTGGATGAAAAGCTGGACATGAGCCAGCAATGTGCACTCGCAGCCCAGAAGGCCAACCCTATCCTGGGCTGCGCCCAAAGCAGCATGGCCAGCAGGTCAAGGGAGGGGATTCTGCCCCAGTGAGACCCGCCTGCAGTGCTGTATCCAAGCTCTGGAGCCCTCAGCACAGGAAAGACATGGGCCTGTTGGAGCGGGTCTAGAGGAGGGCCACAAAATTGATCAGAGGGATGGAACATCTCTCCTACGAAGACAAGCTGAGAGAGTTGGGGTTGTTCAGCCTGAAGAAGAGAGGGTTTGTCCAGCGAGAAGAAGAGAGGGCTGGGGGAAAGCCGTATTGGAGCCTTCCAGTACTGAAAGAGGGCCTATAGGGAAGATGGGGACGGACTTTTTAGCAGGACCTGTTGTGATTGGACAAGGAGTAACGGTTTTAAACTAAAGGAGGGCAGATTTAGACAAGATATAAGGAAGAAGTTTTTCACCATGAAGGTGGTGAAACCCTGGCACAGGTTGCCCAGAGAGGTGGTAGCTGCCGCATCCCTGGCATTCAACGCCAGGTTGGACGGGGCTCTGAGCACCCTGCTGTAGTTGAAGATGTCCCTGCTCGCTGCAGGGGGGTTGGACTAGATGGCCTTTAAAGGTGCTTTCCAACCCAAACTACTCTTGATTCCATGAAATCATGTAAAATGACATGCATATAGGAATCTAGTAACAGAACTGTTTGGGTCTTGAAAAGGGTAGAATACTGGAAAGAATTTGCTATCATGATAAGGAAAACTCTGATTTTAATTTCATTTTTGTTCATATTTGAACCATGCAAAGCATGTAATAGGCTGAGATTTGTGAGGATCAAAATTTGATCCTTTCTGTGTAATAATTCCTTTACTTATAAAACACAGCCCCACGAGTAATGTCATAGAGAAGATACAGATGTTACAAGGTGACTGTCACCTTTTACAATTACAAGGTAGTTCTATTTGTAGTTCAAGTAAACTGTTCAAGCAAACTCTTCACACTTCTTTCTTTTAAATTCTATTCTCTGAAGGGAATTCTTTAAAATAGCGTAGGCTGTAGCAAATTCCGAACTTAATCCATAATGATTTTCTTCTTTCACAAGAAATACATTGAAGCCATAGTCTTTTTTTTCTATCATTTGATGTCTTAACAACAAAAATACATCTTAAGCATAGTAAGAGTTTGGGGATAGAGGTTTTATTGCTAACTTTGATATTTCTCAGGATTCTTTTTGAAATATTGCAATGGGTAAGTTGGCCATCTCATTAACTTTAGATGCGATGCAAAGTATTTGAAAGGAAGGGTTTTTCTTCCACCAGTCATTTCAAAAAGTTCCTAGGGAGTGGATTGAGGGAGGTATCTGCATGGAACAGAGCTGAGAAAATTTAGGGTTGCTAGTAAAGGTCCTCTCCACCCCATACAGCCATATCTCTTTGGATAGGAGTAGCAACTGTGGGAACTACTGCAAATGGAGCAGAGGGATATGCCTGTCTGTTTAAGCTCTATAATCCAAAGTGGTCATACTCTAACTGCAAATGGATCTGATGTTTATGATTGATATTAAGCATGATTTTATTGCTTTTCATCTAGATCCCTACATCCAAGTTTTAAAGAACTCTGAAGACTAAGCACAACTTATAGTTGGTAATTAAAAAGAAACTTTATATCCATGTAATATACAAGACTGATTTTCTGCTTTAAGGCTACTTACAAGCCTTAACAAGGCTATTTATGAGCCTTAGCAAGAGTAAAAATTTTATTTAACAACTTTCCAAGAATACTGTGGAAAATAAAGCCTTGATTTAAACACATCTCACCATGTGCATCTTTGCTCTTGAGCGGAACCTCTTGACTCCACCAAGATGACGAAAGTTGTGACCAGGCTTATATGTTTGCCAGGACCAGTCTTTCCTTAAGTTTCTAGAAATAAAAAGTGGTTTATAGACTGGAATTGGGTAAAATAAATGTCAATAAAGATGATGGATGAGAAGAAGCTGCCCTGGACCTAACTGTAACAGTCGCAATGCCATGTTACACAACTTTTATGTAATTTCTGCCTGTACTCCGTAATAAAAATTATCCTCAAAGCCTTATTTTAATTTTATAAGCTGTGCGTGTGTGTAATACACAATGTACTTTTATTCATATGCCAAAGATCTGCAGGCAAATTATTTACTATCAGCATAAGTCTCTCTTAATAATTTAAGCCCTTAATCTTCTATAGTATTTTCTCTTGTACACTCTCCTTGTGTATGTCTCGCTGGCTTTGCAGTTGTCTGGGAGTTGCTATTCACGCAACCTGCTTTCAACACAAAAATGACATTTCTTTGTAAAAATAGTTATTTCTTTAATAGTCAAAGTGTAATCTGTTCCTATAGTCTGATGCGAAGAATTATAGTAGATTTGTAATTTTTAAGTTAAAGTGGTGTTTCTGTTCTCCTGCTTGAATTGTTTGAATTTAGTGTGGGGATAGGGAGCATTATTACAATAAAAGATTTTACGTCATTAAGATTTACCAATTTAATCAGGCATATACACAGTCTACTTTATCCAGGTTATAAGATCTCTTGCCCATAATCCCTTATTTTTCACTAAGCAATGTGGGAGCTTGGAGGACAGAGGAGTTTCAGATCTGTATGCGTCTTTGACAGCCTGGAAGAGAAGGACATGTGCACTAGAACTACCAACAAAACCTCAGTGATGTTTTTTTCCCCTTAGCGTTCAGGCTGTATGTCTCCTCCCATGGCTTCTTACATAAATTAAGACTTTCTGGTAGGATACTTCAGCCGTTAAAGAAATAAGTTAAAAACAATTTGAAAAAGACGTGGTAAGGATCTTGGAACCATTAAATATGGAAGAACATTTTAAAGGTATTTGACATTTTGTACGCTAACTATGTTGATTTGATTACTGTCATTGTAAGTGAAATGTAGTTGTAATTTGAGTTGTTCTTTACTAGAGCTTTTTTTTTTCTTTACTGCAGGTTTAAGATTTTTAAGAGCCCTTAGACTGATACAGTTTTCAGAAATTTTGCAGTTTCTGAATATCCTTAAAACAAGGTAAGACCTTTTCTTATATACAGTTAGTTGCATTGATGACAGAGTGTACATGGCTTAGGTTTGAGGTCTTAGCAATGTATGATTTTCTTTTCTGGAAAAAAAACACTTGTTATCTGTTTTTTAAACCTTTTTCTGCTGATGAATGATTTATCAGTGTCAGCATCTTTTGCTATGCGATCAGTAGATTTTATTCAATCTGTTGTGACACTTGAATTATCTGAGCAAGACTGTGTGCTGGTAAGTTAAAAGCAGAATAGACTACAGAGTTCTGCACTGATTAAACATTGCTTCTGTCTATATAATCAGTCCATATTCTACTGCCTTGAAAAAACAGAAACAAACATTCATTCAACAGAATACAGTTAAATAGTATTTTAAGAAATAATCGTTGTGGCTCTATTTTTTTTTTTTTTTTGAACTGAGTATCCTTTGTCACATCAAAAATGTATTAAAAATTAATTTTACACTGAGCTATCTTTATATTATATTCATTGTCATTAGCATTTCTTTCAAAGAATAATTAAAATATTCCCAAGTAACCTTCTGGCTTTCACTGATTTTTCTGGGCTGTTAATGCATGAAAGTTATGCCGAAAAAGCACAGCTTGGAACAAAAGATCAGTGTAAGGGAAATAAAAAGGAACCTTCCCATGCCTCGCAGTTGAAGACACATTGCCTTTCATCATTCCCTTAAATGCCCCAGGTGAAATATGGAACCCAGTTTACTGTAAACTCAGTTCCATTCTGAAATCCTATGTTCTCTCCAGCAGTTGATAATGCATGTGCGAGGGCTTTATATGCAAGTAACTCCATTTACTGGCTATGTTGGTTACTAGTGATGGGGAAATAGATCCCTGAGATTTGTACACACTCATGGTAAACAGCTGTTTCTTCAACCCTTAGCCTTGAAACTATTCTCTTTGCTGTAAAACTCTCACACTATCTGTCTTTAGTTGTGTGACTGTAAGGAATCTGGTTCTTGTCAAATAAAGAAATAAAGAATGTGCAGATGCACTGAAGATGCAGTCCGGTAGCTTAGAATGCTACCAGTAAGGTACAGGAGAGTAGTTTGTGCAGGAGCTCAGAAAATCCAATGTGTTTGCATTTAACAGAGAACAGCTTCACCAAAAGAAAAGGCAGTCAATGGAGACGCCCCATAAACTCAAAGGATTTTGGATAAAGTCTAAAAGCCCTTTCTGGAGTGGTGGATTTGTAAACTTCCAGATCAATAAATGAAGGGATATTGCATTAATCACATTCAGTGCATTCAGAGATGGCTTATTCAATACTGACCTGTTCGTTTAAACACCATTTTTCTGGTGCAAAATTTACTTTTAGATCAGACGTCATAATCTCTGTAATTATTTATATGAATGCCCAAACACCTGTAAACCTCAGGTGCTGATTATTAGAAAGCCTGCAAAGCAAAGCTTCCTTTTATGACTGTTTCAGTTTGCTCAGCTGATTAATCCCCAGCAGTTCATCACTAACACCTTTTATTTAACTTAAAAACTGTTGATGCCTCAAGACAGTTTTTTATGTCTTTCCCTGTTTCTGGTTCTTCAGTAGAAAGACGTCTGCTCTCTTCTGTATCTTTCTTAATAACCTGAAAAGAACTAAATAATTTTGAATGCTATCAACGTTCACAAAACATCATTTTGTAAAATGCATGCATCAGTCTAAAGCAAATGAACAGAATGTCATTTGTTTTAGAAAAGTTTTTAGTTACACCTGACATAAATTTGACCATGTGAGTGCCTTGTTTTTTAATTAGTCTTGCATGAATTTAGATTTTAGAAAGCAAAAAATTAGAAAATTCATTTATTGCTGCTACAGCTAGCTTCAATGAGAAGTTTTCATATTTTCAGCATGTTCTTAAGTACTGTTACAAACAAGAACCGTGGTTTGTGTGGTGGGTACGCTTTTTCTGTTGCAGTATCAAAATACTTCTTAACTGAGAGTTTCTTTTTCTGCCTTATCAATCTTTCTTAAAAAAAAAAAAAGGCACCATGCTAAGCACTTGTGGTTAATGGACAATCTGAAGAGATTGCAGGAGTTAGAGCAGTTAAACCAGTAGTCTCAACTAATTTATTTTTAATTAAATAAAATTTACTTCCCTAAATTCAAGCAGTGATTTCAGTTACATACAGTGGCCTTAAATTGTTGTTATTACCTTAATCTATTACTATCTTATACTGTATTGTATGCTTTTGACCAGCTAGTGCAACATTGTTTTGCTCAGGGTTGGTTAAAAAACTTCTAGAATTAAGATATTTTATCATTTCTTGCAGTCCACTCTTAAAGTTTTAATGAAATTTTCAACATCGTTGTTTGTGAACATAAAGACCAAAGATTAATGACAGAACTTGAGCTGCTGAACTGCGATAGCAAATTCAGTATATCATTACTAGCTCTGAAATGATAGTATAGGGAAAAAAACCCTAACACTTTATTATTTAAAGATTCTGTAAAAGATAAATGTTCTCTGTCCGAGGTAATGTGTTTATATGAAAAGAAACATGGAACTAATTCAACTAGAGGCATTTCAGTGTTCTTGATACTAATAACAAGTAACAACTGACAAGATGAGAAACTGATAGGGTATAAAGGGCACTGCTGTTTTTTTAGTATTTGATACAATTAGAGAAGAAACTCTGTCCTCCTTTTCCTCTTTCTCTCTGTGAATTAGTGACTGAGATGTGAGGATTAAAGGAGCATATATTATTTACACAATGGGCCTAAGGGCCATTCCAAACACTGAAATCCAAATGAAGAATGCAAAAACAGAGGCAGCAATACTACTAGCAAAGTAGCGTGGGAGTGTTAGATAATTATTAGAATATCTGAAAAATTATCAAAAAGACCGTATTCTGCCAAGGATCTATTTGTTTCCCTAATTTGAAATTAAATGTATTTTATTCAATATTTTTTGTTCCTGTTTTTTTTTTTTTGTAATAGAATAAATTGTGTGGTGTTCTGTTGAAAATGTGTCTCCTTCACTGTTTTCTAATATTTTTCAACAAAACTGTAGAGGCTTAGGCAGGGCTCACAGGGATTTTGCACAGATGTTGGGAAGAGCTTAAAGAGGAGGAAAACGTTTGTGACTAATCCTTCATCTATATTTAGACTCTGGCAGAAACACAGGGAGTATTTCATAGAGGAGAGATAAGGTACAATGTTTAATAAATCTGGGGGGAAAAAAAAAGTACCAAACAAGTCATTAAATAGTTATTCTTAATGGCTGCTGTCATTTACTTGTATTACAGTGATACGTGGAGACCAGCTGATACGTTATTGTATCAGGAGCTTCTCCTGTTCCAAGTTCAGGTGAAGGGGGATATTTAGTCTTTCATAATGGAGCTTTGCATCAGCATGATTTATATGAGTTTGTTTAATCTAGGAAGCTATTGGTTAGGGTCCAGTGCTATGGCTGAATGCTATCACCAACAAAATATGAAGCTTAACGATCATACCTTAAGAAAGAGAGAAATAGGGAGTACGTGTTGGTGTAGGTGAATGCTAATTAATTGCAGAACTGCTGGTATATTGTCTTACTTTTGAGGACAGTATTCATTACAGCATCTGTCATATTACCCAACTGTATTTCTTTCCTAGTGATGATTTCTTTCCATCACCCACAGATGCCCACTTTGCTAACTGTAACTTTTAAAATATTTTTAATGGAGCTTGTCTGATTAATTTTCCAGGTTTTTTTCTCAACTTTTTTTTTTAGAAAATAATGTATTTTTTATTGTCCTTAAAGTAGTTATAAACAGAAACATTAATTAATTCTACTGCAAAACTACTACTGATAACTTTGATAGTGAATTTTTCCCAGTTTTTATTCTTTTGGAATGTATTGCTTTAGGAACAATAGTGATTTTTCTGAGGCTTTATTCTTTCTTAGAAGTGCTTTCAAAAACAACAGAAAGCTATTTCCAGTACAGTTCCGTGAATGGGCAAGATTATTTAGACATGGTAATATGTGGACTTCAGTTCTTTGTGTACTTGTTGAATATCCTTCTTAGCTTTTGAAATCATAGTGATTTTTGTAAGAAGAGAGCGCGAGTGCGCTTTACTCGTATTTCTGCCCCAAGCTTTTAAGTATGGTATTTTAAATGACCTGAAGTGAGGTCTTTGATTAAAAATCACTTCTGGCTACAATAGGGAACATACTACTCAGTGCAACTAAAAAGAGTTTTCAGAGTTTGACTGGTAGGTTTCAATCTTTTTTTTTCTTTTTTTAGAAAAACGTGAAGTATGAAAAACTCTAGATCCATATGAATTTCCACAGAGAAGTCCATAGGAGTTCATGCAACCAGAGTAATATGAAAATTACTTAGGACTTTACACAGGAACTGTAAAACACCTAAGTTATTTAATTTGGGAATCATAATTTTTTTCACAAAAGCAGCATGACATTTACAGATTGGTTTCAATAGTTCATTAATTGTTTCCTATAACTGTAGGAAAATAGTCTCATCCTGTGGTCACGTATGCAAGTGTTAACATGTGGCGAGTATGCAACAAAAGCATCCTCTTGCTGTTAAATTTTAAAGCCTCCACAGGTTTGGGGTCAAAAGCAAAATTAATATAGAAGCATAGGAAAAATGAAAAAATTAAAAAACCATCAGTCAATCGTTTGTATAAATGCAGTGTTCAGCAGCTGATTTTAATTGGCATTGCTCAGTTTAATTCATTGGACCTGCATGGATGTATTCCAGGCTACCAGAATATATGCATGCAAATCATTGCTGAGGTGTATAGCAATGAAAAATGAGAAGGTGAGTGTACCGAGAGGCAACTAAACTATTTGTGAAAAAGCGTTATATATTTCTCTTTGACTATGAGTACAGATGTGGCTAAGATTTCCATTTGTCTTTCTGCTCTCAAAAACATTGGATTTTTACTTTCAAGCGATTTAAATTATGCAAATGTGAACTCTGCAATGACAAAATATTACATATTTTGCGTAGGCTTTTGCTTAAGCTTTTTAGGAAGCCTGTTTCTCTTCAGAAATCGTCACACACTTTCAGCCTGAAGCATGCAGTTGTATACAGGTGCATATTAAAAATGTGTGATAAATTCCAGTCTAAGTTCCTGTTTGTTGTTGGGTTTTGCTTATTTTCAGTAATTCCATCAAGCTAGTGAATCTGTGCTCTATATTTATCAGCACGTGGCTGACAGCAGCTGGGTTCATACATTTGGTAAGTATATTTGAAAATACTTCATTGACTTGTCATTGTCATGGATCAGGGGCTCCCTGAGCTACTTTATTACCTGAAATTGCCTCGCTCTGGGTAATCCCTTAACACATCAGTAGAGTACAATAAAAAAAGACATCACAGCTTGCCCGATTTTAGGCTTCTACTCCAAACTAATTCTGAATAAGTAAATACATCATTAACCTCAGCAGTAAAGCATGAGCCGAGCCGATGCCGCGTGTGACTGCTTACAGCCTACCGCTAGGTGGCAGTGTTTCCTCAGGAACCGCCCGGGCGGCTTCCTGGAAGGGCTTGGCGCAGCTGCAGTGGGCCCGGGGGCCCGGGAAAGCCATGGTCGTGCCCCGGGACAGCAGTCCTGTGTTTCCAGGAGAAGTAAGGGCATTGCTAACATTCCGGGTAGCAATTTTTTCAAGATGATTTCCGTCTCTTTTGTTTTTAAATATCAAATTTTTGGTGTAGCTTTCAGTCACTGGTAACATGGGTTTTTGTGGTAGGTTTTTATTCCACGCTTAACGATACCTGAAAAATGTCAGATAGTTAGTATAGGTGTACATATGAGTCCATAAATCTGAATATGCATATGTATGACAGGTATATGTCAATTGTGTATTTTAAACATTTTAAACTAATGGTTTTTACTGATTTGTTTGGTAAATATAATTAAATGTGTGTTTGTGTTTGTCCTTTAAGTACATTTTAGGAGTAACTTAGATTGAGGAAAATTTGAAGATGCTAGTAGTATTAAGTTATTTGGGAATGGTTTTAGACTAATATTATAATTTCATGATATTGATGTTAATAAAATCCAGAGCAATTTAATTGACTTCACTTGAATTACTTTGAGCTGCATCCAGCCATATATGATTAAATTCTGAATGTTTATCTTCCTCTCGTACCAGAGAGTCGTTCATTTTAACTCTCATAAAGATGCACCAAAATTTTGGATGTTTTTGTTTATGACATACTTCTCATTCACGGATGACCAACTTTTTACACTCCGCTGGGCAAATATAACATTTTTATCATAGAAACATTGACTTTTTCTATTTTTGAACATCAACAAAAAGCTTTTTAAAATTACATCAGGAGGGAGGGAATGCTATTTTCTAGGCCTTGGATTTTGGTTTGGGGTTTTTTGGTTTGGGGTTTTTTTTTTTTTTTTTACTTTTCAGCAGAACCTTCTCTTTTCTACTACAGAAATCCTCAAACTTCAAACTTTTTACTGTGGAACAAATTTTAGAGGACATGCTCCTTTCCCACTGATAAATTTATAACTTTATCACATAGAGTAGCTGGCTTCTTGGAAAAGTAATAGCATAGCACTGAACGTGTCACTAATGCCTTTAATAGCTACATAATGCTTTAAAACAAAAACATTAAGTCGTATGCTTGCATTACAAGTAACATTCACTCTGAAAAAGTTCTGAGCAAATTGCTATCAAATGAACTCACCTAGCTACACTAATAAGTTATATTATTTACTGCTGAATGGAAAAGATACTTTCCATCAATAGTATGAGTGGCAAGGCTATGCATATTGGCAAAAGAACTGTAATGCTGTAATTGGGACAGGCTTAGGTTCTCTATTTGTTCAAAATAAATCACAGGAAAGGATCCAGAGTTTATATTATATTCCAAATTAATATATATCAATTTATATACATATAAATAATATATACATGCACACATGCATGCACACGCATATATCAGTAGAGTTAATTTGTGGTACAACTCTAATTCATTATATGCTTTCTTGTACATTTTAGGTGGAGAACTCAGGGGATCCATGGGAAAACTTCCAAAATAATCAACCGCTAACATATTGGGAATGTGTTTATTTACTGATGGTTACAATGTCCACTGTTGGCTATGGAGATGTTTATGCAAAAACAACCCTTGGTCGCCTTTTCATGGTTTTTTTCATCCTTGGGGGACTGGTAAAAACTCTTTATTATTATTACAGCTATCTTAATACCTGATTCTGTATATTTTAATGCTGTAATTAAAGAAATAATCTCCGGTTTAGTGAATTAAAATTAATTGTAGAACTTTTAAATATGTTTAATATATTCCATTTGTTTTTCTATCGATAAATACTTTGGCAGAGCTTGTCAAATTAGTCCAGTTTAGTAGAGTCAGAATTTCTGTAATCTGTTTAAATGAGTAATGCATGTGAATACATGAAGTGCCTTAATACTTCAGCTTATAATGTGTAGTCCTTTACTTTTTAGTGACTGACTGTAGTGCATTTTTTTGAGGCTGCTATTGATAGTTAAAGGCACTTTGCGGTTTCAGAAGTCCTACCCACCCTCCTGTGTCCCTTCCCAGAATTCCAACAAACACTGTGGCTTTGGACTGCCTTAAAGAGCAGCTTGCCTGATCCAGATGATGGCAAACCACATTCTCTTTAATTTCAAACATCCTTTCATGTCACGTAGCACAATTTTAACTCACAATTTATTGCATGGCCATAACCAATATCCTTTTATATCAGCAAATTCTCTTGTTCTTTGTCCTGTACTGTACAGAGCACCAAAGTTACTAATTGTCTTATGTCAACCCTTCTATTATCTATCAATGTTAGTAATATTATAGGACCTGTTGCAATGTTGTCCTTTAAAACACCAATGTTTATTTTAATACTTGCACTGTGCAAGGTAAGTGCTTTATGGATGACTCTCAATATATATTGTGCACATACATACATATGTATATTGTTACTTTACTCTCATATATTGATTTGTCATATACGTACATCTTACAGAGGTGATATGTATATGACTAGTGTTATGAATGGCATATATGAGACACACAGAGATACATATATATGAGCATAAATACATGCATTCCCATCTAAGTTTATTCATATATGAAGACAAAGACCATGCCAACTGGCAGTAGCTCTTCTAAGTATCCAGCCACAAGGAAGATGTTTGTTGGACAAAACATGGCAGAATAATTTTTGTTTTCTCCTCAAAACTTTTTTTCTATCATGTGTTACTCCAATTCTTTTAAAAACATAAACTTTTGGAAAAGTTTTGGGGTTTTTTTTGGGGGGTGACCTTTTTGTTTCTTGTTAGGGGAATAACCCCTGATTCCACCTTTTTTTGTCTTCTTTTGAATCTCTAATCATGGAGGAAAAAAGTCTGTCTTGAAAAATGGAAATGTAACAGTAATGATAATACTTATTTTTGGGGGTTTTTTTGCAGTGGAGCTTGGATAGGTTTTTTCCCCTCCCCTCTTCAGGAAGAATTAGATATAACTGTATTTTATGATTAGATACCAGTTTGAATTAATTTTGTTCTTGTTTTGTTTTGTGTGTCTATTTTTCCTCTTTTGACCATTTTCTTAATTTATAAGAGGTGCACCTTCTCCAAGACCAACTTTTACATTGAGCCTTCTTGTTTTGTTTGATAAGAACTTTTACATTTTTTATATTTTCTTTTTAAACAACTTCACGGATCTAATTCTTTTGCATTTTCAGATCTTAAAGATATATATCTTCTGAAAATATTCATCATCCCCCTTTCTTTGGCCTCTCTTTTTAGTCTTTTCTTCTGTCTCCTATTCTTCTTCTTAGGCCATGTTTGCCAGCTACGTCCCTGAAATCATAGAGTTAATAGGAAACCGCAAGAAATATGGTGGTTCCTATAGTGCGGTTAGTGGAAGAAAGTAAGTATCCCAAGAGGCTCTGCTGCCTCTGCTGCAGTAGAACACTCTCTGCATGCCATTTTCTTTTTTTTTTGTTTGTTTTTGTTTCATGCATGTAGGCAATGTTTGCTCGCTACGTGCCAGAAATTGCTGCTCTCATCCTTAATCGGAAGAAATACGGCGGGACTTTTAACTCAACCCGAGGCAGAAAGTAAGTCAAAAAAGACCAGGTGTGGTTGTGTGACTTCAAAGAGCCCCTGAAGGTGGTAATAGCTGACTCACAGCTTATAAGGCTGCATGCCTTGACATCAGATGTTACCACTGGAGAATTGTCACACAAATTAGAGACCTGGGCTATGCTACGGTACAAGTCACAACATTTAGTCCCTAGTTCAAGACAACCTGGGTACCACTAAGACTTCACTGACGTATCTTGTAAAAAATGCTGCTATTGCATGTGCAGCTAACTTCTGGAAGAAGGTTTATTAGTCACTTCACCATTTTGGGCATCAGATTATCATGCGGTCATCTCTTAACTAAGTGACAATGATAATTCACATGATTTTCAAACACCTCAGTTTTTTAGAAAACTTGGGTTTACTGGAGTGCAAAATATGAGATTTATGTTGATTGACTTGTTTCATTAGACTGACTATGTTGCAAGTCTGATAGTGCTGTTTCTCATTGTTCAAACAGCAGATTCAGATCTCATGCAGCTCTTACTATATTCATATGAATATTGCAAACACTAATGATTTTTAGGATCTATGACCAGGGATTTCAAAGTTATTCTCTTCCACACACCATATAAAACCAACCCTGGGAAAAACAAGTAGTAGCCTTAGTATCAACATAGTGTGGGGAAAAAAAAAACCAACATAAAAAAATACTACTTTTACCTGGTAGAAAAAGTTAAATTTTATTGGACTGCATTAGCTCATTACATTTCTATTGCAAGCCTGCTCGTTTTCTTGACCAAATTAAAACCAGCTCTTAGTGGCATTCCCAGCATCTAGACATGCTGGGATGTAGCCTTTAATGAACTAGATGTATTTGGCCATATAGTAGTTTCTCCTTTATATTACTTGTAGTGTTTCCATCTTTTGTTTCATTACAGATCATTGTGACATTCACTGATAGAGATATATTTACCCTAAAAGACTAGTCATACAGAATCCTTTCCATATAACATAAAGAAGGTACTGCAAGCAAGACGTCTACTTAATTGTCTGTCTCCTTACTTTAAGAAGATATGTTTTTTACTTTATTCCTTTCAAATCATCACCCATGCATCATTTTATAAATGAGGGTTATGGTTTTATCAAGTTGCTTCTCCTCTCTGTGGAGCAGAAAGACTGTAAATGTCCCACAGAGCTAATTCTGGAGTACTGTTTTACCTCACTGGGTAGATAAATCAAAGTTCTTTCTTTAGATACAGTTTATACTCTTGTATGTTCAGTAATACTCAAGTAATTAGATGACACAGTTGAAAACTTCAGTACTTTCTTTTTTTAAGATACCCGCAATACCCTCAAAGTTTTGGAGTTTTTTTACTGTAAACACTAACGTTGGAAACTTGCATCATAATTCACTTATCCAGATTAACAAAATGCCTTAAGGTATTTCTGAGATAGAGTAGTATCGTTAATTTCCCGAAACATTTGTGACAGAGGCCTACTGAGTTTCATATTTTTATTCATACCTGGTTTCTTAGAGAGACATTTTTCTAACACAGAACTTACACTTCTGTTTTTGAGGCTCCAAAGGAGTTACAGCAGAAGGGAATATGGTTAAAATCTATTTTACATACAGAATTTTAGTATCCTCCCTTCTACATTGTCACTAGTACCCAGCATTGCTCAGATGTCTCTAAACTTGGACCTGATCTTCAGGCAGAACCCCACATCCTGAAAAGCTCAACTCCAGATTAAAGGCTTCCGCTAGCTTTGGGGCGTGCTTAATTTTATTTTCACCCTCTCTTTTTGTCTTTATTTATATGCACTTTCTGTTGTCAATGCTTTCTCTGCTGATCTCTGTTGCCCATATAACTTGTCATTTGAAACTCAGCTCTGTCATCAGCATACAAACTGTTCAATTTACTTTATGCATTGTTTTCTGGTTCAGTTATTAATTCCGAAGTAAAGATGTCCTTTGCCCATGTGGGTCTTTCATCAGAGAATCTAAGCTTGGGAACCGCACACTAAAAAGCCATTAGCACCCCTTGTTTGATGTTGCTTTTGCAGTCAGTAGAACAAGATTGATGAAATGTTATGTTTGGCCAAAATTTAAGTTTTCATTTGGAATTCAGTGTTGAGAGACTGGATTGTCAGAACCAGTAAGTTTTCCTTTGCTTGGGATATGGGCATGTGGTAGTAATTAGCAATATAAGGTCTTTAGTTGAGCAACCAAGTATAGATTCTGGCAGCAAATATAATGAAAAACTACAGTTGTTCTAGGCCTAACGTCAGAAAGTTTCCAGATAAAATTAAATACATGTACAAAATGAAAGCAGCTAAATTTTGTTGAAAGATGTAGTTTGTTCTTAAAATAGCAAATGTATATACCTTCTAACTTTCTCCAAAATAGATAAATACATGGAATCTGCATTGTAGCATTTTTATATATATATATTTATACATGTTGCCTCATGAACTATGTCTGTGGAATAACATGCTTCTATAAGATTATTAAACATTTAGGTGGCAAGTTAAAATTAACATATGATTATGTATGCTTTGAGGATTGCATTACATAGCTTTCATATTAAAGGAGAGCCTCGCTATAGAATTTTAACTATCAAAGCAGCTAGAATGTATGCATAAAAATTATTTCCACAAACTCCACTTACTAAAGAAGAGAAACAACCAATGCACCAGCAAACTTGATCTCACACTTGATTTTGCTTTTCAGCCAATAAAGTCCCCAAAGGACTCATAAACTATATAGGAATCATTTTGCACAATAAAGAAGCTTACTTCTCTCTTAGATGGGACACATACATACAGAGTTTGGAAACAGAGGGAGTTTGTAGGCAGTATGCAATTATCACTGGGTAAATTTGCTAGATATTAGGTACTTTTGTTAGAAAAGTCCATGGGGAATTTTAAATTTAATTTATAATCTCTGCTTTGTAATATATTCCTGTAATAAGACTTCTAAGGTCTCATACAACACAAAGCAGGAATTTTATTATAGCTTTTGATTGAATTCTCACCTGTTAAGTAAAAAGAAGTACTCACTGTTGCATATATACCAAAATGCATACCAATATATCTGTACAAAATGTGACTGAGACCAAATATACACATTTTATGGAAAGTAGGGTAATGACTTTGGCATAATTACATCCTAGTGCAAAAAAAAAAAAATTAAGTTACAAAAAAAGGTAACAATCCTTGTCTTGGATTTCAGGTTTGTAAGCAGAGATCTGCTCTATATGTAATGAGATTACTGCTAAACAGCGGTTTTGCTACTTCTACAGATCAGCTCGTCAGAAGACTCTGTAATATTTTTTACTATGTGCCCTGATAGACTGGAATCAGATGGTCAGTAGACAAGAAAAACTGGCCTTCTTGGTTCAGTTATACTTGGAACGAACAAACAATTGCTTCTTGCTATAGTCATCACTAAATACAAATGATACAGACAAAACCAGACTGTAGTTACAAAGACAGAAAATAGTTGATATTAATATATATGAATAAGATGTAACGGAGAAATAAAATTCAGGCATGAGAAGCAATCTGGACTGTAAAAAACATTATTTTCTGATACTGCTAAGAGGTATCTTAGGGTAACGGTGACGTGGCTTCCAATATTTTCCACATTGAGTCCTGCACAGTTTTTCTGTTCTTTCGCATGAGCAATTCAGTCGCTACTGTTTCTCCTTCCTGTGCGTTTCCCTGGATGAATTCTGTAGTACATGATTTTATGTTTTGGGAAATACTTTTTGCAAAGCAGGTATTGCACGTAATATTCTTTACATATTAGCCGATGTTCTGCTAATTTCTGTTGAAGTAGGTAACAATGTAACTTACTTTCTCTGTAGAACAGTTGGCATATTTTTATTATTAATAGATTAGTAACTACCTGACAGAATTTTTGGGAGATTTAATGGAGTTAATTTTATGTTTTTTGAAGATGAGAAATGCTTTTAAAATGCAAAGTAGGCAAATTGATAATGAAGATTAACTCTTACTAATTGCTTCATGATGAAGTTTTAATGTCATCAAGTCCAACCATCAACCCAACACCACCATGCCCACTAAACAGTGTCCTGAAGTGCCACGTCCACACCTTTTTTGAACACTTCCAGAGATGGCGCCTCCACCACCTCCCTGGGCAGCCTGGTCCAATGCCTGACCACCCTCTCGGGGAAGAAATTTTTCCTAATATCCAATCTAACCCTCCCCTGGCGCAACTTGAGGCCATTTCCTCTTGTCCTATCGCTAGTTACTTGGGAGAAGAGACCAACACCCTTGTCGCCACAACCCCCTTTCAGGTAGTTGGAGAGAGCGATAAGGTCTCCCCTCAGCCTCCTCTTCTCCAGACTGAACAACCCCAGTCCCCTCAGCCACTCCTCATAAGACTTGTGCTCCAGACCCCGCACCAGCTTCGTTGCCCTTCTCTGGACACGCTCCAGCACCTCAATGTCCTTCTTGTAGTGAGGGGCCCAAAACGGAACACAGGATTCGAGGTGCAGCCTCACCAGTGCCGAGTACAGGGGCACGATCTCTTCCCTACTCCTGCTGGCCACACTATTGCTGATACAGGCCAGGACGCTGTGGGCCTTCTTGGCCACCTGGGCACACTGCCGGCTCATGTTCAGCTGACAGTATACAGCTTGACTATTAATGGTATTTCCTCTCAGCCATTTTTCTTAATAATTTTGAGAGCAGCAGCTGGTTCCCTACACCCTGTCTACATTTAGCTCTTTTTCAGGCTTTTGGTTTGACTTACTCTGTTTAGGCTCTTTCTGTAACCTCTCTGTAGAACTCGTGAGTTAGTATTCAAGGGATCAT